TGCTACAAAAGAACGGTACATGCTTATTTAAAAAAGAACATATCAATAAAATCTACACAAAATTCTCTATCTTTTAGCATCAGAACCCAACCTTCTGATCAAGTCTAATTTGAGACAATTTAATCTGCCGTACCCGTTATAATAAAAATTAAATTAAATATTCATCATTTGGATCATCTATTAAAATCAATAAAATTTATTATTGTATTTAGATAAATGTTGGTGCTTTACCACCTGGAAAAGAATGTCATGTCAAAATTCAATATGTAACTGAATTAGAGTTAATTGATGAAAATTTTATAAGATTTGTTGTTCCTACTACAATTGCTCCACGATATAATCCATCATTAGGTCATTTACAATCACCAGATAAAACAAAAAGTGAATATGTTCAAAAAACTCCATATTCAATGTGGTTTCAAGCTCATGTACTTCGAGGTGGGCCATGTAAGTATAACTATTTCTTGATTTAAATATTTTATTTTATAAATTTATTTTTTATATAATTTTAGATAAAATAATGCAAGTGGCTAATCTTTCTCATCCTGTTAATGTTAATATATCACGTCAATCAATTGATGTTTCTTCAGAAAGTATTGCTCTTGATCGAGATATTATTCTAGATATTGATTTACCAGATAATCGGCCAACAACACTTGTTGCTATTGAACAATATAATGATTCTAGAAAAGATGCTATTCTTTTAACATTTACTCCACGTCTTTCTGATTTCATGAAAATTTCTAGTGGAAAAGAAGAAATTACTACTGAATTTATATTTATTGGTACGTTCTAATAAAATTTCATTTGGTTAAAATAATATTGATCTCTTTTTTTCTTATAGTTGATTGTTCGGGTTCGATGACAGAGGCTAATGGTATTGGTCTTGCTAAAGAGGCTATGCTTCTCTTCATACGTAGTTTGCCTGTAGGCTCACATTTTAATATCATTCGTTTTGGATCAAATTTTGATATTCTATTTAAAAATGAAATTTTAACTGCAGTTTATGATGAACAAACAGCTAAACAAGCTGAAAATCTTACACGTTCAATGGCTGCAGATTTTGGTGGAACAGAATTGTTAGAACCTTTAAAATATTTGAAAGCTCATCCACCAATCAAAGGTCGATCAAGACAAATCTTTTTATTAACTGATGGTGAAATTTCAAATACAAATGAAGTAAGAAATATTTTAGGATATTCAAATGTTCTCTTTTTCAACAATTTCACATAGTTAGAGTGTTGACATTTAATGAATCTGTTGATTCACTAGAAAAAGAAACATTTATATCATGATCTAAGTTTATTTATTGTAAGCGACAATATTTATCCTTATCTCTAAATAGAAAATCGAAAATTATGTTTCTTTTTCTTTTTAGGTAATTGAACTATGTCGTTCCATGTCGTTAACTACACGTATATTTACTTTTGGTCTTGGTTATTCTCCTTCTCGTTCTCTCGTAAAAGGTCTTGCTCGTGCCACGAATGGTCATTTTGTTTTTGCTCCTCCAAATTCTAAAGTAGATACATATGTAGGTGGTCAACTTGCTCGAGCTCTTCAACCATCATTAGTAAATGCTCGACTTGAATGGCATGGATTATTAACAAACGGATTACAATCTCCAAAAACTATTCCACCTCTTTATGTAAATGATCGAGTTCTGGTTTATAAATTGTTGGAAGATGAAGACTTGAAAAGACAAAATGTTAGTGTAGATTTTATGATTGGTGAACATAAAATTGATACAATCAAATTATCTAGTAACATTGCATACAAAGGAGATATGATACATCGATTAGCAGCTAAAGCTTTGATACAAGAATTACAACATAAAGAATACAACAAAGATACGAAGTATATAATAAATGATAAAGCAAATATTTCAATAAAAATTCGACTTAAATCATTTAAAAAACATAAAAATTTCACGTGTTTGATCAATTATTATTTTATTTTTTATTTTTCAAACTTGAACAACAGTCACTAATTGATTTTTTTTTATTGTAGAAATGAGACAACAGTCGAGCAAGATATTATAACATTATCAATGACTCATCAAATATTATCACCATATACGGCCTTTGTTGGTGTAGAAAATACTACTTCAAAAAATAATAACACTCATTCTAAAGTTCGTCATGTACCTATTCAAATATCGAAAGGTGACGAACACTTATTTTCATCTTCCAGACCATATTATTCTTCATATCCAGGACCCATGGGACATCCAAATGCATGGATGGGTATGGCACATGCGCCTATGTATCGCAGCTCTACGACGGGATCAAGAGGGAGTAAAGGCATGTTTTACTCTTCATATTCAAGAGTGTAAGTATTTTTTTTAAACTCTTTCTAGAAACTTCGAAAAAAAACACTTTCCCTATATTTGAAAATGTGCGTATATAGTGTGAATACCATTTCTCAATCGTTATCTTATAGATACCAAAGATGTTTTTATTAAACTTCAAATATCTGCCTATTAAATATAAGAATAGAACTTGAAACTGAATGTGGTTAGAGTAGATTGAGACGCTTAAGCTATTCTCTGTTTCCTTCTTCACAGACAAAATTTCAGCACCAACTATATTAAAAGTGATATATCCAGGTAAGAGAAGAAAAATTTAGTTACATAGTCTCTAAACTCAACTAAATCTCGACCAGAGATTTCTCGTGGTTTAATCATCTGACTTTCTGTCTATGTTTTATGATACGTTTAGAGCTGTTCATCCTGGTCCTCCTGGTCCTTCTGGTTTTCCTGGTTTGGCTGGTCCTCCGTCGCACAAAATAAATTCATGGAATAACTACCCCATGCAGTTTGATTCTGTCCCAGTTGCTACGACCACCACAGCTTCACTCTTGACCACCGATCCTGTTCGATGGTTAATCGATCAACAATCATTCAACGGTGCATGGATATTGAGCGAGAAGGATGTTAAAACTTTGACTGATGGTAAATCGTTAGATACGTTTAAATCTACAATTAGCGAAGCCAAAGATACTTTAACAACAGCACTTGCCATCGCTGTACTCGAATTGAAATATGCCGCTCAAAAGAATCTTTGGTATGGAATCGTGGAAAAGGGACGCAAGCAACTTTATAGTTTTGGTCTGAGCAACGACCAAGTAAATGCACTTATCAATGAAATCAAAAACAAATTATGACATTTCAATGTTTTTATTATATGTAGATAGCGAGATATCTTTCTCTTGAATAAAATACATAGTTACAAAAAATTAAAAAAATATAGGTCGATACACATATCACTATCTAGAACGGATCAATTCTTTTTAAAAGAAGTTAACCTGTAAAGTAATGCGCACAAAAGAACAGATTCTTGATCTAAAACGGATTTGCTAGATCAAATATCGTTAGAGGTATGTAAAACTTGACTACATCCAACGACTGAATAGAATCTAGCAATGAGTATTGGTATTCATTTTCTGGCAGTGTTTATCGTTTATCTTCTGTTACTGGATAGTCTATGACAGATTACTTTGATATAAGAAAAACTTTGATTAAACTGCAAAATAGATGTTATTAACCAAATATGCACGGCATGGTAGAATATTGTATTCGACTATTCAAAAACCATTGTAAATCGAACTTTAGACAGACAAAATTATTTGCAACATTAAACTTTAGTATTCCACAGATCAGTAAGTTGAATCGGATAGCTTGAGACTTCACTAAACTACGATTTTTTCATGGCGATAGATGCATGTTGCTCTCTCTCTCTCTCTTTAATAAGATTTAGACGAAGAAAAATATCTTTCTCTCAAAATTGAAAACTTCTTTTAGAAGTGATGAAAATTGCTGATGAATGGTTTTTCGTAAAACTAGAAATGTCGACGATGATTTTATCTATTACACGTGTTTCGGCTTTATGCCTTCCCAGGTCCAGGGATTAGATAACAAGATCTTGGAAAATCTTACAAGATCATATACGATCTTGAGTGATCGTATAATAAGAAATCATAAGATTTCAAAAGATCTTATCAATTTTTATCAATTTCCTATAAGATCGTACAAGATTTCATATGACATCTTGTAGCAAGATTCTTATAAGATTTTACAATGTTTTTTCTTATCATAGGAATGTACAAGATCTTGTATGATCTGATAAGATCTTACACAAAGAAGGTATAAGAAATTATACGACCTTATAAGAAATCACAAGATTTTATACGATCTTACAAGATCATACGCTTGATCATTTCCTGTCGAATCCTCTATACCTCTGCATTTTTCTTTTCTAATATAATTTCTAACATTTGGCACTAGGCGGCCACAGGACCGTCTTTTGCCACGTTTCTTAACCATGCACTTCGTATGTGTTCAACTGACGTGTGAAGTTCAAAAGAGAAAGAGTTTGAAGCTTTTTAAAGAGAATGATGTT